TCCAGTGAAATATATTTATGTTTGTGGTTGTAATGTGACAAAATATGGAAAAGTTCAAGGGGTATGAATACTTTTGCAAACCACTGTATCTGAAAGGTTTCTTGCTGAAAGGGGAATATGTCTGTTGGTGTCCAGGTTTTCCCAGCACTCCCAGTGAGTACGCGTCTCTGGCAGCTCAGACTGTGATTGGTCAGGTTCTGGAGGCCGTGGCGCCTCTGTCTGAAGATGCTCGGGTCCAGGCCCTGAGCGTCACCATGACGGCTTTCATGGAGGCCTGGATGGAACACATCTTGAAGAGAAAGATCAAGTTCAGGTACGTTGGTGGTCAGGGACTCAGGACTCAGGTACCAGGAAGGACTGGCTACATGGTGGAGCAGCGAGTCAGCACAGATGACTCACAGCAAGAAAAGCAGGTTTTCTAAAAATACTGAAGTGTCCATCCACAACTTTGACATGAATGCTTGTTTGTCTCATTTGTGTTAATGTCCCTGGGATGGACAGACGGACCTTTTCAGGATAATAGTAAATGGTCCACACTCATGCAGAATGTTCTCCAAGTTCTGTAAAGTAGTTCAAAATGTTTCTCACTCATGGGTAAGACACCTCACCCACCTTGTCTACTGATGGTGGTCAGAGAGTCCGGTGCATGGCAGCTTCACTTCTGTCAGTGTGCCCCAGGGCAGCTGTGGCTACAATGTAGCTTACCATCATCAGTGTGTAAATGTGAGTGTGAATGGGTGAATGTCTGTAAGTGTAAAGCGCTTTGGGGTCCGGAGGGACTTGGTAAAGTGCTCTATAAGTTCAGTCCATTTACCATCCATTCACACACTCATGAGTTTATACATATTTATGAGTACTGTGATTAGAATATCAAGAGTTCATGACTTCAACACACTTTGGTAAATACAGCTTTTAAATCACAGGGTCAGGAGACCAAACACCCAACTAATGGATGGATGGTTGGATGGATGGATGGATAATGATGGATGGGTGGATGGGTGGATGGATAATGATGGATGGATAATGATGGATGGATGGATGGATGGATAATGATGGATGGATATGATGATGGATAATGGATGGATGGATAATGGATGGATGGATGGATAGAGGGATGACGGATAATGGATGGATGGATGTATGGATGGATGGATAATGATGGATGGATATTGATTGATGGATAGATGGATGGATGTGATGATGGATAATGGATGGATGGATTGGTGGATGGATGGATGGATGGATGACGGATGGATGAATGATATGATGATGGATAATGGATGTATGGATGGATGGATAATGATTGATGGATAATGAAGGATAAATGGATGGATGGATAATGGATGGATGGATGGATGGATGACGGATAGATGATGGATGGATAATGGATGGATGGATGGATGGATGACGGATAATGGATGGATGGATGGATGGATATGATGATGGATAATGGATGGATTAATGGATGGATGGATGGATGGATGATGGATAATGGATGGATGGATGGATGGATGGATATGTTGATGGATAATGGATGTATAATGGATGGATGATGGATAATGGATGGATGGATGGATGGATATGATGATGGATAATGGATGTATATTGGATGGATGACGGATAATGGATGGATGATGGATAATGGATGGATGGATGGATGGATACGATGATGGATAATGGATGTATAATGGATGGATGATAGATAATGGATGATGATGGTGATGCCTTTATTGTCATTGTACAGTGCACAGTGAAATTACATTTAAGAACACCCATTCAAGAAGACACACATGACAAACATGGGGGAACAAGTGATCAGGTCATGCGGCAACCAGCAGGGTTTGTGCTACCTTTTAAAAAAAACTAAATACCACAGAAGGGTAGATGAGGAAAAACAAAACCATATTATATCAATGAAATATGACACACTATGGTGTTGGCTTCATCAGATCCTGATCTCCAGCTCTCGCTGGAGCGTTTCGCAGCCGAGTGTGAAGCAGCAGGGATGAGGATCAGTGTCTCCAAATCTGAGACCATGGTCTTGAGCCGAAAACCAGTAGCGTGCCACCTCCGGGACGGGGAGGAGGTCCTGCCCCAAGTAGAGGAGTTCAAGTATCTCAGGGTCTTGTTCACCAATGAGGGAAGAATGGAGCAGGAGATCGACAGGCGGATTGGTGCATCTGCAGTGATGCGGGTGTTGTACTGGTCTGTCTAGGTGAAGAGAGAGCTGAGCCAGAAGATGAAGCTCTTTGTTTACCAGTCGTTCTACGTTCCTACCCTCATCTATGGTCACGAACTTTGGGTAGTGACTGAAAGAACAAGATCACAGATACAAGCGGCCGAAATGAGTTTCCTCTGCAGGGTGTCTGGGCTCTCCCTTAGAGATAGGGTGAGAAGCTCAGTCATCCAGGAGGGACTCAGAGTAGAGCCGCTGCTCCTCCACGTCCAGAGGAGCCAGTTGAGGTGGTTCATCTGGTTAGGATGCCTCCTGGACATCTCCCTGGTGAGGTGTTGTGGACACGTCCCACTGGGAGGAGACCCAGAGGAAGACCAGGACATGATGGAGGGACTATGTTTCTCAGCTGGGAACACCTTGGGATTCCCCCAGACGAGCTTGTCCAAGTGGCTGGAGAGAGGGAAGTCTGGGTCTCTCTGCTTAGGTTGCTGCCCCAGAGACCTGACCCCGGATAAGAGGAAGAAAACGGACAGACGGACGGACTATGGTGTTCATAAAAAAAACCTCTACAGAGCAAGAGCACATTTATTAGCCAGAGGGATAGTGAGTTTAGAGGGAAAGCAGGGACACGAACGAATCAGTAATCAGTTGTTTGGGAGCAGATAAAATGTTTTCAAGTCAGGCAGACAATAATAATTTTCCATCTGCTTTAATGTTCGCTGGTACATCTCAATGTGGTGAATCCAATCACACAAATAATGTGGACAATTCTGCTGAGCTGAGCTCTCAGCTTCTCCAAGATCAATTCCATCTGGCCAGCAAAGTCCAGGAACCACAACTGGCCTGTGACCCTCAGCAGAGCCGCTTGCCGACCGAGTCCAGCTCGCTCAAGGCAAAAGTCTGAGTGCTGATAGAACAGCAATCCTTCATATTGGTCAGGCAGCCAGGAAATAGCCTGAATAGCCACTGACACTGTTTTGTAGAGCACCAGGAGACCACCAAGCCAATCTGTAGAATCCAGTGATCAGAATCCAAGTATACATCCAGAACAGAGGTCCCACCTTTGACGTGTCCTCCCATGGGAAAAAAAAATGTTCCAAAAATTTATTAAGAGACCAGCTAAACAAATCCATAAAAATAAATCTGTATTTTTTGGTTTTGGATGAAAATGTAGAGAGGCTCCAAGCAGCAAAGCAGGGAAATATAAGGGAGGGCAGGAGAGAGGGGAAAAGTGTCTTACTCCTCCAAAACAAAACAAAAAAATGGATGGATGGATGGATGGATGGATGGATGGATGGATGGATGATTTGTATTACTAGGTTGGACATTGCCTATTAGCCTCTATAGCTAGTGACGTGCACCCATACTTCACTGAGTCATGTCAACAAAACGGTAGTTTCAATGCAGGATGCACATCTGCTACAAAAATATTCATAGCGTCCTTATTTCTCATCCAACTTCTATAAAATATGGCTTAAATTAAAGCTGAGAACATTAATGTTGTTACATGTAAAATATGTTTACTGTAGAAGCCCCTTTCCACCTAAATGATGACACACTGTATTTCATAGTATTGAGTTGAAATTGAAACGATTGCACTCACTGACTTACATCTCCTCCATTTTTAAAAATAAAAAATATTTTAATGACCTGTAAAATGTGATACCCTTTGATCTTTTTGTAGTGTTGACAGTTTATGGAAAACATTGCGTCCCTTTTTGATATTCCTTGCGTCTCATTTTCACGACCATCCCTGGATGTTTCTGAGTCCTGACTCTGCAGAGCGATGTGTGGTGTCCAGTAGTACACATCTATGTAGTACACTGTGTACAGGACATGTGTGTTATGTGTATATTTCCTGTGTTGTGCAGACCTGAGTGAACCTGTTTTTTTTTCTCAGCCTCCAGGGGGCGCTGCAGCTGAAGCAGGACTTTGATTGTGTCAGAGAACTGATCCGCTCAGATGAGTCAGGTCTTTCAGCTGAACTTCACAGACGACTCCTCAGCCTCAGGTACCAGTGTCTCTGCTCGACTCACACTGTCCTGACGAACGGTCCAAACCAAGTGTGTGTGTGCGTGTGTGTGTGTGTGTGTGTGTGTGTGTGTGTGTGTGTGTGTGTAGGGTGTTTCAGCAGGTGGACTCAGCAGTGCTGTGTTTGCTCCAGCAACCTCAGGTGAAACCAAACCTGCATTACAGAGACTGGGAACCTTTTAGACACTGCTGTAAGTTATATTATATTATAT